TACATTGTTCACAGAGGTACAAACAGATTTGGGAAAGCCTCCATAGCCCAGAGGTGAAGGATAGGCATTTTGTCTGATTATTTCATGATGAACAATGGAATCTATTTCTTCAGTTGTCATGCCAACCTAAAATATTAAATAAAAATTATGCTGAAAAAACTGAAGACGTTTTCTCTTATTTACTGAATGTGATCACAGTCATGTACTTCAGTGAAATCTAAGATGATACAAATCAAATGCTTTGATACAAAACACAAAACCATTTGATATACTTTGTAGAAGCATTATGTTTTATTTAGAGAGAAATCAAGCATGCAATAAAGGGAGCACTTAAAGCTTCAAGAAAATGGAAAATACTGTCTGCTTTCTTTCTTTATCCATATTTGCTTTCTCCAGGCCACCATTTTCTACTGGCCTCTCTTTTTCAGTAGCAGCTATAGAAGTGTCTGCTTCCTCTCTCTTTCCATCACCCTTTTATAATTAAAAATAGTTTCAATTTGTCCTTATGAGTATTGAATTTATTGCTCTCAACCTTTTAAAACACTGGCAGCCATTTGTAGATAAATCCTTGATTCTTATGACTTGCAAATAGGATTACAGTTATACAATTTTCAATTGTTTTTTTCCTTCAAATTATTTTTAAAACCATTTAAATTTATTTATACATAACTTTATTACTTGGGTTAATACCTGGGAGTTGTTTGTATTACAGTGAAATTGGCATTAGAATTTCCATTTTAGCACCCTTATTTCAGTTATCTACAATTTTCAGAAACATCAATTTTTGACTGAAAGTTTCTGTACTCAACCTCTTTCTGAAGGTGATTTTTTTGTAAGATTAACAGAAATGGTTTAGCCATTTTTGACTTGTGAAAAAATGTCGCACACTTTGCACGCTTTAAATATCATTATTCCAGCTCTTCCTTTGGATCAGCTTTAGTTCTGAAATGGTTCAAGATGGAAAGTTGAAATTTGGTAGAGAAGCCTCCCTCATTGAGAAGAAGTACCTTTGAGTGTTCCTGTGAAAATTAGTTTTGATTTGAGTGAGATTTAAGCCTTTGAAAAATCACACTTCATACAGATACACTACAGTGGCTACGATTTTTGAGTAGCTTTTAGTGTCGTTTGGAATAAAAGGAGGCTACGGTGCAAATGTTCATACAGCTTTCCTCCACTGTGCAGTGAAAGATTTAGTGCTCATTCGTTGTGAATGAAGCAGGGTACATAACATGCAAGGAATAAAACATGGGTTGTTATGGATCCTTACTTTATTCATGATCAACTTGTGGTTGGTCAGATGAAAACTACTGCCCTCTACAAGAGTGGGGTACAGGATGCTGCATGGCTCCCTTACCTCCCAGCAACTATTCCAACCCACGTGCTGGAACAGTAGTCACAGCCCCTGCACAGACTGCAAACTGAATACTAGGGCCATTGGATCTATATAAACACAGACACATAGCTCCCATCCTGTGTCACCTGCATAACACCTTGGGCCTTTTGTACCATTTGGTGTCCTGCACCTTTCTGTGGTGCACAAAGAATGCATCGGCACCTGTGTATGGCTATTTGATGGGCAGCTCTCCTGAGTAGTAGGGATATGGACAGTGTTCCCTGTATGCTGTGCACTTGTGCAGTGACTCAGGATTCAAATGCCACTCAGATGCTTAGGAGAGTGCCTATAGCTAGGTTTTGTGTCTCTACTGGTGGTGCACATTCGCACATGCCTTGGTGCACACAATTTTTTTTCCTGAACATGGATGGAAAAGCGCTCAATTTTGTTTTAATTGAAAATACTGGCTGGCTGGTGGACAGTAGCAGTATCCTGCAATGGACCATTTTTGCTACATGTTATACTGTATTCTGGTGGTATCTAGCCCCACAGTTCCAGATTGTGGAATTTGCTTTTTCTTTCCATAAAACACTATGAAATTCCATCAAATACAATGTCAAGAACATGTTATAGTTGCATGGTTAAGACCTAAATTGTCAGGAAATGACAAAGTTAAGACCATACATTCAGCCTTAACTCTGTCCCCTGTGTGTATGCATTATAATATAGCCTTCAATTTATGTAGTGACATAGTATTTCTCAAAATATGCTCTCCCTCACAAAATGAGACACACACACACACACACACACACACACACACACACACTGCATTTCCCTTTACTTTGTACATACTAGCCAAAGAAAATAATTAATGTGAAAAATACACCATAAGGTGCACTTAAACAGAGCACTACATATTAATATAACATCAAGTAATAGTGAGAAATTGCTGTCATTTGTAGTCCTAGTAAGTTTGGTGCTAAATCCCTGATTCAGCAAACACAAATCCATGATTTTAAAATACTTCGGAGCCTTTAATCCCACTGACTTCAGTGGACTCACATGGAAGACATTAAAAGCACCCACAAGTGTTTGCAAAATCAAGATCTAAATTACTTTTGTTATTTGCTGCATCTCCTGAACTATCCTGAAGGAAAGCTGTATTGATGGTTGAAAAGCAAAAGTACAGTAGATGAATCCTGACAAAAATTTTCAGGTTGAAAGTACTGAACTAAGAGGAGTATACATATAAACATTTTAAATTAAGGAACATGTTCAGGAAGATTACAATGATGAAATTAACGTAGAGTAGAAATGAAAAAATGCTTCACGCACTTAAGGTTGCAGAAAAAGGGTATAAATATACACTGTTGTCACAGAAATAGGATGTGATTATTATGTAATAAAAGCTATATTATAATGCATATTTATAGGGTGTAGAGTTCAGGATACATAATTTTGTCATTTTCTAATTTTTGAGTGTTTAACTATGCAACATTTAACTTTTCTCAGGGTCTTATATGAGAAAATATATTTTGTATCTTCATATGCTCTGAATACTCCTTTTATATCGCCACACATATCCAGTAACTACAGAACATATTTCAACCTATCCTGTATGTAATTCATTAAAAAATGGGGGAAACTACCAAAGCATTCTTTCTTCTCCAAAGACTTTTTGGAGGTTCTTCTTTATTATGTGGGAAGCATTCCACAAAAGTGTTCTGTAGAAAATATTATTGAAAACCAAGAGGTTTTCTCATCAGTGCACTCTGCAAGTTGCATGAAACCATACAGCCACACCCTTTAATAGTGGTTCTGCAGTTTGTGATTTGTCTGATCAACTGTCCAGAAGAGCAGCAAGAGCAGAATGAAAGGAGCTGCCCAATCCTTCAGATTTATGGAAATGTAGGACTGGAAAGCAGAAAGTATGAATCTCAGGATTTGCTGTGTCACAAAATCATATAGAATACCATGCATCTTATGACAAACCCATGCAACTTGGCATGTCAGAATGCAGACTTAAAAGGATTACACTTCAAACACTGAGTAACTGTAATCACACCCCACAGAGATTTAAATGAGAAAGAAACTAAATTTTTTTTATATAGCCAAAAAAAAAGTAAATAAAACTCTTTTTATTCAGTATGCAATTTAATAGTAAGTTAGAATAAATACGAATAAAATAAAATATAAAGAAAGCACAGAAAGCATCCCAAGTTGTTACAGGACCTCA